TAAAATTGAAATTACTTGTAAAAAACATTGGAAGTTTAAGTGCGAACAATTAACGTGTAGAAGACTGTCCTATTCGAGAATATATAATCAGATTGATTCAATTCTATATACAGTAATGTCTCTCCAATTGACCACCAGCAAGGAACCTAACAGGACTATTGTAGAGTCAGGGTCCCTTTATGACATCTGCAATTTATTTATATAAATTATTAATTTTAAAACTTCAAATAAAATATATTTTTACAAAAGATATAAAAGTAAAAATATAAAAATTAAATAATGTGAAATTTTATCAATTAAATTAAGAGTGAAAAAAATTCTTCATTGTACAAAGATTCGAACTCATTGTCAGATTACCCGCTTACGAAACAAACATCCTGTGCACTGGCTCACTGCCGATTGTTGAATAGTGCCTAAACTTCCAAAGTTTTACAGAAGTAATTTCAATTGTTTATAAAAAATGCGCATTGAAATGAAATATTTTACAGAATGTCATTTTTCGACTTCTAAATTCATCCCTTCAAATTTTATCAAAATCCTCGGGGGACAGGTATGTAGTCTCCTTGATAAGTGCTTTGCACATCAATATTTCTCAAATTTTTCATTTCGCTGAAAAGTTACAAAATGAAATTACAAAATAATTAAAAATAAAATGTAACACCGACCGTACCCTCTAGAAAGTCCTTGAGATAAGGCAAACGAACGCATTCCGTTCCCAGGAAAATCCCTATCACCAAAACTCACGATTTTTGGGGTATATAAGGGCCTGATTTTTGACGCTCTGGGGCTGTCTTTTACCAGAAAGTTACTATGCTAGTCGGAACATTAATGTATTTTTCAAATATGTGCCATTCACAGACCATTTGTGTTTTTGATTTGATTTTTATAGGTTGTCTTTAGTACCTGAATACCTTTGAAGCTGACACAGAATTTTAATACAATAGTAATAAATTTTCCTAATTTTTTATGTAAAATTTTTATCAAATTTAACGAGACTTTAAAAAAAAGTACCAAGTAATACTTCTGTGATTTTTTGTATATTAATTTTGAACATATAAATCTTTATATTAATGTCAAATTTAACTGCTTAAATTTGCTTAAAATAAAGAAAATTGTCAAAATTGTTATTGACGCGTTGAGTATTCTAGCGTCCTATCCTACTATTGTACGCGTTATTCAAATTTTTTATTATTTACATTGTTATTTGTTAAAGTATTCGGAGTGCCCGCGTGTGGAGACCCACCGAGCGTCAACTGTTTTTCCCCGAAAGCACGCGTGCTGGTGCCGTTCCGGTTTCATCCACTCGTGTACGGGCGTAGCGTTACGCCACGTGTAAAATATATTGTGTTGTGTTTTTATATCTCTCCTTGATTTCTTTCTGTTCCACCACCTCACATAATTAACAACTCAACAGGTTATGGGCCCAGGACTAAAGAAAGAATTAAAAAACTAAAAAAGGAGGAAAAGTAATCATAACTAAAAAAAAAAAGTGAGGTTAAGTGTGACCACGTCCACGTGTCGAAGAAAAATAAATTGAACACCATGAGTTTTGCAAACATACAGCAAATTGAAAAGTTGTGCAATGAGAATTACGAATCGTGGAAGATTCAAATGAAAAGTATCTTGAGGTCCAATGAGCTCTGGGGATATGTAAATGGAACAGTACCAAAGACCGAAGAAAATCGAATCGTGTGGACCGCGAAGGACGAGAAAGCTCTTGATATAATTATATTGAGTCTACAAAAGTCTCAGTTTAACCATGTTAAACGGGCTGAGACGACACTAGAAGCATGGGAGATACTGAAAAAAGTGCACGAGTCAACAGGACCCATGAAACAGTGTGTGCTCTTCAAGCAACTATATAGGATGAAAAAGGATATTACACAAAGCATGGCTCAGTATATTTCACACAGAACGTGATTTCACGATTTCATGCAGAAAGTAAAACAACTCACCGAATCAGGTATAAAATTACCAGACACAGTATTACCAATAATGCTATTATCATCTTTACCCAGTCAATATGAAACGTTCTGTGTCGCTATCGAATCCAGGGAAAAAATCTCTACATTGGACGAGTTAAAAGTAAAACTACTTGAGGAAGAAATTAGGAAAGCAGATATCAACATAATAAGAGACTGTGATGGGGAGACAGCATTATTAACAAATAAAAAAATTGTGAAGGATAACAAACCACAGCGAGAAGTCTTTCAAAAACCAAAATATGAAAGTAATCACCACAGAAAGTTCAATGAAAAGTGTTATACATGTGGAAAGGCTGGTCACATAAGCAGACATTGTAAAAACAAAAAGAGATTTACTCCATCAAGTAGAAGCAGAGAAGAGGCGATCACTGCCGTCGCTCTAAACACTAACCCAGTTGCTTCAGATGACTGGTGCCTGGACAGCGGGGCAACAGTACACATGTGTAAGAATAAGGAAAAGTTTAACAGCATAAATCAGAGACAAAAGGACAGGGTATGCACAGCCACAGAAAGCACCACAAACTCTTTAGGAAGAGGAGAAGTTAAGTTAAACATAAAGATAGGTAACACAGAATCAACTATTAAATTATCAAATGTCATGTGGGTCCCAGAATTCCGGAATAATCTATTGTCGGTGTCGAGAATCACTGATAATGGATTCACAGTATCCTTTAACAAACATTCAGCAATAATAAAACGAAAAGATGGTACTATTGTGTTAACTGCACAGAAACAAAACGGGTTGTACATTGTAAAGCATACAGAGGCACAACAAGCAATGCTATCACAAGGAGAAGATGACAGATTCAACAGATGGCACCAAAGACTAGGTCATTTAAATATGAAGGACGTCAGAAAATTAATTGAAAAGGACATGGTGCATGGAATGAAAATGAGCAAACGAGAGATGGAGAATGTAAATAAATGAAAGGCATGTGACTTGAGTAAAATTACCCAGTTGCCATTTAAGGATTCAAATAACATCGAAAAAGAAATGTTGGGCCTGGTGCACACAGACATCTGTGGGCCTATGAGTATGCCATCTCAAGGGGGAGCTAGATACTTCGCAACCTTCATTGATGATTGCTCCAGGTACACAGAGATTGTCACCCTCAAAGAAAAGTCCGAAATTTTCTCGGCATTTAAAACTTACAAGAGCCGTGTCGAGAAGCAAACAGGTAAGCCCATTAAGAAGATACACAGCGATAATGCTAAAGAGTATCTCTCGAAACAATTTACAGAATACCTAAAAAAAGAGGGAATAACAAGGCAGTTATCAACCGCTTACACGCCACAGCAAAATGGAGTTGCCGAACGTGCCAACAGAACAATAGTTGAAATGGCACGCACAGTGTTATTAGTGTGCGGTAAAACTACAATATATTGCGACAATCAAAGTGCAATTCAATTAAGCAAAAATAATATGTACCATCGTAGAAGTAAGCACATCGATATTCGTTATCACTACTCGCGAGAAATGCAAGAACGTGGAGAAATAGATGTAAAGTATACAAGTACAAACCAAATGACAGCGGATATATTAACAAAGTCATTACCAAAGAATAAGTTAAGAACATGCGTTGATTTATTGAATTTAAGGGATTAGGTTAAGTACAATGCAAATAATATATGTACAACATTTATATAAGGTTAGAGAATGTATGATGCGTGAAATGAACGAATGGAACACTTCGAAAGGGGGAGTGTTAAAGTATTCGAAGTGCCCGCGTGTGGAGACCCACCGAGCGTCAACTGTTTTTCCCCGAGAGCACGCGTGCTGGTGCCGTTCCGGTTTCGTCCACTCGTGTACGGGCGTAGCGTTACGCCACGTGTAAAATATATTGTGTTGTGTTTTTATATCTCTCCTTGATTTCTTTCTGTTCCACCACCTCACATAATTAACAACCCAACATTATTTAACTACCTAATGAAAATTACAAAACAAAAATAAGAGAAATTTTGAATGTATACAAAGTTGATATTTGTCTCTGAAACCCCTGTATGCGAAACGGCCGCTACGATTTTGCCGGTATTTCCGCGAAACTGATGAACAAATTTTTCAAACAAAAGTTAATCAGTATTCAGTTGACAATAAATCGTGTTAATGAAAATTTACAAAAAAGTTTTTATTCCATAAAAAATAAAGATCACTACAATTTTTTTAAATGAAACCATATATTTTTTTATGTGTCATTCAGTGCATATTTAAATTCTCTTCAAAAAATTATTAGAGAACTTAGGTCGAAAATTGATTAATTTAGAAATTGTGAGTTTTGTCCCAAACGCCCATATACTCGAAACACTGCGTCTCATCGAGATTCAAAGGGAATCTCCTAATTCTTATTCATGTGCTCAGGTTGCTCGAACGTCACGTGGTGACGTAGATATTTGGCGGAAAGAGCCGAACAGGCTTCGCACACGGACAGAGCTACCGCTACACTTGTGTGAGAACACGAGGACGGTATAGTGGGAGACGGCGGTAGGTCATAGTGGGGGGCTCAGCGCCCACGATTCTGGCATCATTGGTTGGTGCACGTCAGATGTTCATTTCTATATTATGTACCCATGTTCATGTTCCAGATCATTGATTCGACCAATCGGATATCAATTGGTCGATCAATTTTATTAAATAATAAATTCCAATTAAATTAATGATTCTACATAAGAATATTTAAATATTAATTTGATTGGTATCCCGCACTTGTTTATTAATGCAAATTTCTTTTAAAGCGAGTGTTTTACACCACAGCAATTTTTCTTTGCATAGCAACGAGGATAAATATTTATTTCAACGAGCAGTTGCAAATAGTAGTCAATGACAGTTTACGATAAATCTTATTGACTTTCTTTATTCATTGCTTCCTCCACATCGTTGTACAATTTATATTCCGCGCGTTTTAATATTTGCACTACAAGGAGCCACATGCGCCACATAATAGAAGTGATATGAAAATGGTAAGGAGGCTTTAAAGCCTCCGTGACGTGAGACAAAAAATGCATTCGGTAATACGTCTATTCTGAACCTAGTTTGTGGTTATATCTAACTTCATAGGTAGATACATCTGATGACTTCAAAATAATTCCAGAATATGCAGGAAATGTGACGCAATTCTTTTCTGATTTAGTAAGTAAATTAAAGTAGAAAAATGGAGCTTTGGAATTTCATCCGTAATATATTTGGTGGACAAAATTTCGAAGAACCAAAGAATAAGTGGTAAATTTTTAATTGTTATATGCCTAGAGTCAAAAAATGTTCATATTATGTTTTTGTTATTTTGATTATTTAAATTATTTTGACTCGTTGCTTAAGTCGTAGTTTATTATATTTTTTTTATTTTCACCGTTATTTATTTTTATTGTTTCAGGTTTTTCGATCATCATAATAATTATGATAAGGATAATTTTGAAAATCTAATATGGCAAAATGATGATGATGATGATAATATTGATAATTCCAGGTAATTTATGCTTTATATTTTTTGCTTAAATTGAAACTGCATATCCTTTAAATAAATATCATGTCCTTTGTGTTTAATGAAATGAACAATTATTACTTTTATAACTGACATTTGTCAATTATAGGTATTTTAAGAGAAGGCATCACTTTGAGATTTTCAATAATCCATTAGAAATGACACGATACTTTGAATTTCAAATAGATAACATGTTAAAAC